ATTCTTTTTGCGCACGTTGATCATGATGCGTGCGTTCTCGTTCTCCTTAATTGTGTCGTTCGCGCTACAGAGGGTTTTGCGCATAGCGTCCTTCACACAAGTGATGTAAATTTGAACGTTGCTGAAACAAGACAGAAGCAGAGTTGTCATGTGGCACTCCGAAAGAAAAAAAGAGAATCACCATTGACTGCACGCTTTGCAGGTTGCCTCACCTGCATGTGTTGTTTCCCGAGGTGACGACATCGACGTTGGAGAACATATCCTCGCAAGCGTTCCTGGTCTTTTCATACGCTCGGAAATCGCAGCCTCGAGGAACAAGAATGCAAACAAAACACGTTGAAAATAGTTACAACCACGACAAATTTATGTTTGCATGATTCAAGTGCAAAGAGCAAAGATCGGCAGCACAACCTTGAAAGAGTAGGACACTGTCAAACAGAGGTCTATCAAACATGTTTCGCCAAAGTTGTCTGGTTCTATCAACGGGTGGCGCTATCTCACGATTACGAAGCAATATACCTGATAATCTTATACAGGTGGTTTATGGTTATCTAAACACGCTATTCGTTTGAAAGTAATTACGAAGAGAGCGTGATCTTATTAAATAGCACTCCATCCCATGATAACTTCCGTCTTGGTGCGATTTCAAACCAACAACTCAATGGAAGTCCTAGGCGATATTTCTCTTCACTCTCAACACACTCTCTGGATCAACTTTCCCGAAGGGCGCACGTTCACAAGGCCATGCTTCCTTTTTCCTTGACATAACCTTCACAGTACACACCGACATAGCGATCCACTCACCGTCTCCTTCCATTTCCTGCTTGGAGAGAATCCAGATATTTTTTGACGCTAGCGCGCATCCCAGGAGTGCGAAGACAGCGGCAGTACGGAGCGACGCCACCGCGATGTTGGCTGGCATTCTGCAACCCTCAACGCCCCCTCACGAGCAGCGTCACTGAAGTAATACGGGGTCCTCAGGTCCCTGCACAGTAGATGTACACTCCGCGAAAGTATAGTGAAGGACTGATTATTCTGGAGGCCCGAGGCCTCGACAGCGGAACGAGCAGTGTCACCTAGCTCGAACTCCGAGCGCTACTCTGAGCGAGTCTCGGGATCACCGCAGTAAAATGAGCAAGGAAACAGCCCTACCTGGATGGTAAAGGGCGGCCCGCATCAGTTCATCGCCGGCGAGCCCCTTCCTGCCCGGTCTCCCCGCGTTCCAACTGCACGCTCCGCTCGAGGCGCGCAGTCGGCTTCTTTATCCTTCCGCTCGTGCCGCTAGGCATCATCATGGTTATTTTACAACTGGTCATGTAGAACAAAGCCCAATGTGGCACACAATATGCGAAAAATTATGCTTTGGCTGCTCGTAGTTATGACAATGTATACCTTGCTCAGTTACTGCAATCTACATGCCATAAGATGACGAAGAAGGGAGACCAAAAAGTGAGGTCGATTTGTGTCGCTGCAGCGTTTCATTACAACTCTCATCAGCTTTATAAGTCAATAAATATTCTACCTTACGCAGAGGAATGATTACTAAATCACATTTCAATAGTTTTCTGGACGCTGTGGTGTGGCCGACAAAGAGCTTGCTCATGCTGAACCAAAAGCTGATGTGTATTACACCCCCCCCCCCCCCTGGTGTAGAAATAGCGTACTGCAGAAGTGACGTGAACTGCTTTATTGAGATCGCTTATGCGAGAGTGCACAACGACCTATTGGTCACAGCCAGACCATCGATACAGGCGTCTACGAGAAACAGATCCTCAAATGACTTTTCGCCTCCCCGCTGGAATGACGAGAAGAAACCCCAGTTCTATACACCAGATTCGCCTGGGTTTCACATGCACACGCCGCTATACGCACACCTCGTCCGCCGTACGAACTGCCCAAACCGTAAACGCTGCTGTGTGTGTGTGTGAAACATCAGCACGTATATTTTGTGATTGCGCACTTTACGTGTCGCAACTAAAAACGCTCACTTCGAGGCTGGCAGCAATAAGTGTGGCAACGCTAAGTAAAAGTGGCATTTTACCAGCAATGTGTTACTAGGCAAAATCAACAACTGCTGTAAGGGCTGTTATGGGTTTCCTCGGAAGTACAGGACTGGACTCTAGACTCTAGCTAAACCACAATACTGTGTGGTTATTGTATATACGCATAACCTGTTTCTCTCTCCATCGTCACGCTTCATTTTTTCTTCTTTTTTATCTATTCCTCTTGCCCTGTGAAAAGTGGCAGGCAAGTAGCAGGCAACACCTATAGAGCTACAGTGCACTAACTCAGGCTGACTTCTTTGCCCTTTATTATTATTATTATTATTATTATTATTATTATTATTATTATTATTATTAGATGTGGTACTAGTAGTAGTAGTAGTAGTAGCGGCACTGCAAGTACGCTTGCAAGTATACACACAAGTGGGTGACAAATGATTATCTTCAGACAAATATAAAAAAATAGAGGCAGTGATACTTCATTCAAGTAATAAATCATTTCAAGTAACCCCCGATAATTTAAATCATTTTTAAATAGAAATACTACCGTCTTTCAAATCGCATGGCGCATATTTATATGAAAAATATTTCGTGGGATTGCCGAATGAATGATTTCGTAAATTATCCCGAACATTGAGTATTATGCGCCGTCATTTTAACTTCTTTCTTACATCCATTAACATGGCTTTATTTTATTCAATGTTTCTTTCGTAGTTCTAGCAAGAAATTCTGCTCTGGTCGACGATTTCAGCTGAAAACATTCAAAGACTGGTGGCTTTACAAAAAAAGGGCAATATGCTTTGCCTCCAGGATGCCACATCTCTGGCATACTCCTCATTTATTTACAAAGCTTAGAACTATAAAAATTGAATCTTTGTACCCGTGTAGGCTTTGTTGCATGTATAAAATGAAAAAAAAAATTAATGGTAACACTTGAACACAAGTGGCATTCTTACAGGAACATAAATCTTTTTATAAGTTGCATCGTTTAGAACCTTGCATTGTTAACAAAAACAAAACTAAATATGATGAATAAATGCTACAGTTTTGTTTACTGACTATTTGAAATCACTTACACAAACAACATGGTCTCGATGTATCTACCGTGTGGCTAAAAGGCCTACGTGACATATTTATGCGATTGCTTGTGCAGCCATGGTGATGACGATGATGATGATGATGAGTCCACAGCCATGGCTCGTACCCACTTAGGGGGATCGGCCAAGAATCGATGGCTTAATTTAGTGGGGCTATTTTTTTTTCATATTCAGTATTAATACTCCCTACCAGAAAAAAGAAAGAAAAGACACCCTTGGTAGAATGCAAGGGGTGCAATAATTGTTTGTCACTCGTTCAGGTCAGACAATGCATTCATCAACTTGAATAAGAATTAGCGTGATTAAACAAAGCTCCTGTTTATGTTGGAATATTTCTGCAGGAATATTGATCACGCAATTAATAGCTTAATTCTTTTAGTTTCATTAAGGTACTTGCAAACTGCATCAAAAACGTTCTCGTGGCTGAAGCCCAGATGTTTTTTTTTTTTTCCGCAGTCTTCATCACTACGCCATTTCTTATTTTTCCCAAAAGTCTGCACATAACCTTGTTTATTAGTCATGGCCGTGGATGTTTATGGCTTTTACTGTTTTGGTTAGTTGATGCATTGTCCATAGGCCTACCATGTGCCATTTGACCGTTGTGAAGCTCCCAGTGTGTGATGTGGCCAGGTTCCCCTCAAGCTGTTTAATGCAGCTTTTTTGCTTGATCATGCTCGCAACCTTGATAAAAAACTGTAATCACTCCACTATATTATTATTATTATTATTATTATTATTATTATTTTTACTTACTGATTTTTTTTTTCTTCTAGCTTACGCTGCTCCTGGCAACTGCTGTTTTCTCTCAGTGAACGCATTGTTGAGCGTATACAGGTGCTCCACGCTTTGGAACACGAAGAAAGATAAGATTGCGTTAGGCGAAGAAATGCTGCTACATATTGTTCCCAGTCCACCGTACTAGCCACTAGTAATGTTTTCATTATTGAAAATTAATAAACTTTGTTATTCGACAAGTACTCACCTAATGATCGAAATGTCCATTATCCACACAAGGCGATGAAGTATGGCTCAGTGTTCTTCCCCGATGTGACGAAGAATAACAGCTGGCTATCGCCAGTCGGTGGTAAACGGGTAACCGTGTCAAGTGTGCCTTCGCCCCGTTGTCAGATTAAACGACACAAGCAACTGCCGCAGCTCATCGCGCAGGAGCTTCGTGCCGGTTCGGTCTTTCTTGCTTGCGTAATCATGCTAATTACAGCTAAACGTTTCCGCGGGATATCTCGGAGCACATACATGCTACAGGAATTTTTCCTAGTGTAGGAACGCGACCACATTCAACATTTAAACACAAATATTCCCGCTTGCTACAGTCCCTGAAAATTTATTAATAAATCTTAGTTATTGGGTCACTGACAGCAATATTTATTGCCTCAATTTGTGTCCCCCTGGACACATATTATCTGCAAAGGTGCTCTTTATGTTTTTTCCCAGTGCTGAATTTAAAAGAACCATGAAGCTTAATTTTGAACATCCGGTATGCACGCACACATGCAAGCACACGCACCAACTTACATAAACTATAGTCGAACCCCAAGCCTCCCTCCGAAGCAAATTTCTGATTGATTGATTTGATTGATTGATATGTGGGGTTTAACGACCCAAAACCACCATATGGTTATGAGAGACAACGTAGTGGAGGGCTCCGGAAATTTCGACCACCTGGGGTTCTTTAACGTGCACCCGAATCTGAGCACACGGGTCTACAACGTTTCCGCCTCCATCGGAAATGCAGCCGCCGCAGCCAGGATTTGAACCCATGACCTGCGGGTAAGCAGCCGAGTACCTTAGCCGCTAGACCACTGCGGCGGGGCGAAGCAAATTTCTGTCCAGACTCCTAGTGTACGTAGCTAAGACAATGCACCACATGCGAACTCGATATTTATTTCCAGTTTTGAATCATCAAGCTCAGACTGCACAGGAATACGGCGGCGGTGGTGGCGGCGTTGTGCAGGGGCTGGCAGCCCGACCCAATCGTAGCGGTAGTGCAAAACGTCAGTCCAAGTTTCATCAGGTGGTTCTCGACCATCCGAGGCGTGTTGGCGAGCATCACCAGACACTTGTGGCGCTCAGCTACTTCAGTCATGCAGGCACGGTAGAAATCAACCATCCTGGAAATAAGTGTTTCTACGTCGTATCATTGAATGCTTCCGTGAAAAGTTTCAAGCGCTGTGACTGATCCACTTGCGTGTGTCCGCTCTATTGTGCCTTATTGCGAATTGTTCACTTTGCAGTCTCTAGATTTCCTTATTTTATTGAAGCAGATTAACTAGCATATTTGTACTATAGTCTACCTAAATGTTCGTCATTAACTCGACGAAGGTATGGGTCAGATGCTGGAAACACATAATCGTCTTACTTGCATACATTGTCGGCGACGTCTCTGAGATTGGACACCGGTATATACTTGACATTTCTTTTGTACTTTTTGGCTTGGTCAGATATGTACTCACTGCAGTGCCGTTTTTCTTTCTCGTATCCAGGCATGTTGCAAACTATGTGAAAAAAATATTAACCTTAGCTGAAATTATTGTTTTGAGATGTGAGAATAGTAAACCCCGGTACTTACTTGCATCATCGTTGTCAGGAACCGGAACGACAACGCCAGTAATGTGCGTTGGCTGCTGCTGTTCATCGCTGGAGTTAGTCATGTTTACACCTGCTGTTAAAGTAGTTGTTTGCACGCTGGTGGACTCCGGATTGTGACCGAATTTGTTGAAAACCTTGTCAAGCCCAAACGTACGCACTTTGTTGTAGATACCCCTGCAATATTTTCAATAACATAATTATACACTTCTCCTTTTTCTCATTCACTATCCACTTGCTAGGCTATGGGTAAATAATTCGGAACCAAGCATAGAACAAAGTTCACCGTAGAAATCGGCTACCAATTACATATATGGGATAAGATTGAATGGTACGTTCATTTTTATGGTAAGAATGAGCAGGGGGCGCAGACATGGGTGTAAGTAAAACACGCAGAAAACATGCCAATTTGAAACAGGAATTTCGCTCAGAGGTGAAAGGGAAGTATTCGACATCTTAATTTCCGCAAACTCAAAGGAAGGCACCGCCAGCCAGAGAATGATAGACATTCCTGCATTTGCTACAGATCCTGCTTGCTACTGGTACTTTAACAGTTTTTTTTTATTCTGTTCTAGATAACCAACAGTTGTCTTAAGCCCAAGTCGCCGCTAATAATGATTTTCTCCGCCCGTGTCTATACCATAGGGGCACACATCTTCATACGGTGGGCTGAACTAAGCTTTCTAACTTTCGCCGCTTATATACGAGAGACATAGGTCAGTAAACTAACTCACGAGTCCGCTCACTCGGACTCAGATCGATCCGTGAGTCTGCGTGAGTTCGGGAGAGTAATATTTTTCGGTGAGTTCGAGTCCGACTGAGTCTGGTTGCGAAAATATTTAGTAAGTCTGAGTCCGAGGGAGTCTGGCTGAGGAAACGTTTCGGTGAGGCTGAGTCAGGGTGAGGCCAAAATGCAAAATGTATTTTGAGGAAGTGAGTCTGAGGAAGCTTTGTTCTTTTTTGCCGATGTATGGTGCTATTTACTCAACTTCAGCAATACTATAGGCCTTACGATGGCTCACGTTTAAGTCACGCTGACTCACACACACTTCAATGCAGCAGCGTTCATACGCCAACTCAATATTTACTGATCAGAGGTGTGAGTTACGGAGGAAGATGAGGAGGGGGGGATGCCGTGACTTCTTCCCCGCCCCTAAAATTTTTCCCAGAGATTCTCGATAAAATATCTCGTCTGAGTTATCTGTTTCAATAAAAACGCCCTTACTGAATTGTAACCCCTGATATAGCATACTTGAAGGTACGAGATGAAAATTCACCAAGTAGAGCACCGGCTTCGCGAGATATTAGTGCTAAAAATCATTGATACTATGTTCATAAATGCCAATAGTACACTAACAGACTCGTGAGTCGGATCGCTCAAGCTCACTCAAACTAAGATAAGTCGTGAGTACGGGTCTCATTGAATTCAAGTGAGTAATATTTTAGTGAATCTGAATTCGAGTGAGTCCAGTTGAGGAAAATTTTTGTGAATCCGAGTGAGTCCCAAGGGCAAAATATATTTCTCGAGGGAGTCTGAATGAGTCCCATATCTTTTGCTGACCTATGACTTGAGGTGGCTACAGGGAGACATTTAAACTCCTCTATGCACTTTTCTTCAACGAACGAAAAGCCATATTTTCCCACCATGTCTTTTTTCGGCTATCAATTGGCCCTTGCACCTTTAAGCACCACATATCATCATCATGTCAGCCTGCCTTACAGTGCAGGCTCTTAAGTTTAACCTACACATAGGTGACCATAACCTGCAAGGAAAGTTAAACAAACCATTGCGATATTTCCTGAATTTGTCAAGTTAACTTTTTTTTCGGAATATAAGGGCATGTAATTTTTCAACTGGTTGCTCATCAACTTGTTCGTATGACTCGAGGGCGTGGTTTTAACTCCCCGCCATGACGTCCGGATTTCGATGGCGGCAAAAGGCTAATGGCGTGTTCACAAAGATACATACGGTGGCGAGAGCGGTGCGGAATTCACTTCGGTGGCAGCGATTTCCGCCTGGAAGGCTCTTTCACGAGAAGTGATACCGACCGCTTAACACTGCGTACACTTACTGGATTTTATCCCGAAGTTTCAAGCGGGCACTCGGGGCGATCTTAGTTCTGTTGCTGTACTGCTCCTCGAGTAACTTCTCAAACCTCTTTTCTGGCGACCTCGTGCGCACGACTTCGTCACCGAAGTAGTAGTAGTCTTCGTATACGTAGTCGTCCGCCTGCATCTCGGGCAGTCCTGGTGCCGACTGGTATATCTTGCGGCAGCTCACTTTATACTCGGCCAATAGTAGCGACCTCAACACGGACACTTGCGCCTTGGCGTTCAAGCTGTTCATGCACTGTCCAATGTCCAGAGAGTTTATCAGGCACTTTTCAAGCATTTCCCGAGATCTAAAATGAAAAAAAAGTTATTATTTCACGCTGCTGCGTTGAATGCCGCGATTTTACAGAACTACCAATGATCACTGCAAATAACTCATGGGAACTTAAAGGTACGTACGAGCATGATTCGGCTGACGTCATCGTGTCCCACGTGGTCTGCTCTGCAAACTCTTGAAACTCCACCGTACATTTGAGGGCCGCTAAGAGCGCTTTTGGGTATTCGCACTTGGGATCAACGTCTGTCGACAAGAGAACTGTGAAGAGAGAAAAAAGCTAGTACGACTTACGGGGCCGCTGAAACGTGTAGAGAAACTTACCAGCGGCGCTTTCACACAGTGGAGCCACGTTCCAGGTCCAGAAGTTCAGTATAGCTGACGTGTGCTCATGAAGTGAAGACTTGGTGCAGCCAGTGGTCCTCTCCACATCAACCATGCAGTGCTGGTATGCTGCTAAATAGCTAGTCGAAGGAAAAAAATAGAGCAAGGTGTCCTCTTGAGCAAAATTTTCAACCGTTCTAAGCGGGGATCACTGCAGCGCTTCCGTCAGATGTGTAGTTAAGAGTTTACCTGCATGTTGTTGACGTAACGTAGTACTCGCCTTGTCTTTTCAAATCTTCCATAAGCTTGTTGTAAGAAAGCCCGCATAGGAGCATCTTCTTCAGCGCGTCGGGTTGAGCACACTTCAGCAAGACATTCAAATCGGCTGTGGAGAAACAGGCGTCGTCACATATATATTCACGGGATCATGACGTCGTCGAAAGGAGCAAACTGTAGGTCAAAAATTAAACTCTTTATTCGGCTGAACTTGTGGCCTGTAAACAAGAACCCAAATTGCAGCACACACACTGATAGCGGTGAACTGAGCGTCGGCCGTCAATGAGCTGACAAGCGGCGAAGCACGTCGGCTTTTATACATGTGCCATCGAATATTCCAGGCTCATCACTCGTCGTTGCGCTAGCTTCTGAATATTAACAGAACGATCTACAATAATCACAAACCTTCTCGCACAATAAGGCGTAGTTTGCGCTGAGCATTCCTGGCCTGATTTGTGGGCAAAAACGCAATGAAACAAAATAAAAATAAGAAACACACGTGGCAACGTGGCATTGCTCCCGTTTGAAAAAGCATCGTCTCGATGCTTGAAATAGAGCACGGGGAGAAATGCATTAACAACAAAAACGACAATGAAATAAAAAAAGGTACAACAATAAGAAAGAAACAACAACAAAGAATGCGCATGAAACGGCTTTATAGGCGCACGACAGTAACAACTTCGAGTCGCGCATGCCACTGGTTTATAGTTTATGATGCCGTCGGGGACAGTAGTCGAGTGCGCAGAGACGTCGCACCACCCTGTACGGTTCGAAGTACCGTCCCAGAAGTTTTTTCACTGCGGCCACGTCGGCGGATCAGCGTCCATAGAAACGCGGTTGCCGTGCTGGTATTCCATGAAGCTTTGTTGAAGTTTGTAACGGCAGCGGTTTGTCGTATGCTGATTTTCGATGCGCAGGTGGGCGAATTGGCGAGCTTCTTCCGCGCGTTGAAAGTAGACGGTGACGTAGAGGTCTTCTTTATCAGTGACGTTTGGCAGCATGGCGTCGAGCGTCGTGGACGGGCTCCTTCCGTGAACCAACTTGTATGGCGACATCTGTGTCGTCTCCGGCACCGCCGTGTTGTATGCAAAGGTCACGCACGGATGGATGGCATCTCACGTCTTTTATTCTACGTCGACGTACATGGCCAGTATTTCGGCGATCGTCTTTTATAGCCGCTCGGTAGGGTTGTTGGTCTGTGGTTGGTATACACGGTCGTCCGGCGGTGACTTGTCTCGCTGTATGCCAAGATCGCTTGAGTTGACTCCGCAGGGAAAGTCTTACCTCTCATCATGACGCAAGACAATGTCTTCAACGAAGAACTTCGCTACCTAGGCGGCACTACTTCAGGGTATGGTCTTTGTTTCAGCGTAGTGGGTGATGTAGTCGGTGCCGTCAACGATCCATTTATTCCCGCAAGTTGGCGTAGGAAACGGTCCCAGTAGGTCCATACTGATTTGCTGGAACGGGTGGTCAGTTGGTTCGATCCCCTGAAGGAAGCCTGCTGGTTCCGTCGGTGGTGTCTTTCGTCGTCGACAGTTTCGGCATGTCCTGACGTAACAACTGACACCGACGGCTAGTCGTGGCCAGTAGTACTTTTCCAGTATTCTTATACGGGATCACATGAGGAACACTGAGGTTTCCAGCCATCGGGTCTTCGTGTAAGGCCTGGAGGACTTCTGTTCTCACCGCTGAGGGAACCATGATAAGGTGTTTGGCTCGAAGGGGCGAGAAGTTCTTCTTAGGGGAACTCCGTTTCGCTGGCAGAACGACGACAGCGTTTTCTTGAATACTTTCAGAACGGTGGCACTGTTACCCTCGAGGAATTCCACAAGGCTCCTGAGTTCCGGTTCAGCTTGTTGTCACTCGGCGAAGTCGTCGGTATTTGGGATTCCCAAGAAGCAGCTCTCATCCACATCGTTCTGCGGCGGTGGTTCGACGGGGGCACGAGACAGACAGTCGGCGTCAGAGTGTTTTCATTCCTCCACACTTGTAAATGATGGTAACGTTGAATTCCTGAAGTCTCAAGCTCCATTGTGTGAAGAGAAGGGTCTTTCAAGTTCGCCAACAGAAGGTGTGGTGGTCGCTCACAAATTTGAAGGTCCTGCCGTAAAGGTAGAGGCGCAACCTGAATGTAGCCCGGATGATGGCAAGGCGCTCATTTTCTGTCGTATAATAGTTGGCCTCAGCCTTTGATAGTGACCGGCTAGCATAACTGATGACTCTTTGAAGTCTGTTAGTCCTCTGCACAAGAACGGCGCCGAGACCTACACTGATTGCTTTGGTGTGTATTTCTGTCTCGGCGAATCTGTCGATATGCGCTAGTAATGGAGGCGTCTGCAGGCGTCGTTTTAGTTCCATAAATGCTTCCTCCTGTGGCGCTTCCCACTTGGAACTCCACGTCGGTCTTGGTACACTCTAAAAAAATATCGAGTGAAAAGGTTTGATTGATATGTGGGGTTTAACGTCCCAGAACCACCATATGATTATGAGAGACGCCGTAGTGGAGGGCTCCGGAGATCTTGATCACCTGGGGTTCTTTAACGTGCACCCAGATCTGAGCACACGGGCCTACATTTCCGCCTCCATCAGAAATGCAGCCGCCGCAGCCTAGATTCGAACCCGCGACCTGCAGGTCAGCAGCCGAGTACCTTAGCCACTAGACCACCGCGGCGGGGCACGAGTAAAAGGGGTGTCTTTTTGTCCCACAACAATAATCGTCATCATGCTTGCGTGCACTTCCTTTCTTGAAAACTCGGTGCTGGCCACTTTCCTATCAAAATGCAATGTAACCCTGATAATGGGCGTGTCGATCGTGACAAGAATGTACCGGTCGCGGGGCGATAGCGCAAGGATGGAACGCAATATAGATGACGATTATTGTTGTGGGATAAAATGACACCCTTTTTACTCGCTCTTTTTTTTAGAGTTTAAGGTTAGTGAGTGGCTCGTCAATGCGGGAAAAAAATTTGATGAACTGCCTGTAATATACGCACAGGCCAAAAAATTCACGCACGGCCTTTTTTTCGGTGGGTGACGGGAAGGCGGCAATGGAAGCTGTTTCCTGCGGGTCAGGCCAAACTGCGGGATTGCTGATGACTTGGTCCAAAAACAAGAGCTCCTCATATGTGAAGCAGAACTTTTCTGGCTTTAGGGGTAGCCCGCTGGTCTTGATTGTTTGCAGTAAAACTTAAGGCACCGGAAGTGTTCGTGGAAGTTCGTAGAAAACACCACGACGTCGTCCGAGAGACAAGGCAAGCCTGCCACTTCAAGCCGGCCAGTACTGTATTGATAACGCATTGGAAGGTAGCGGGGGCTGTGTGAAGACCGAAAGGCATGACCTTTAACTTGAACAGGCCGTCTGATGTTATAAAGGTAGTCTTTCCTCGGTCTTTTTTGTCAACCTATATTTACAAAGGCCTGTCTTGAGGTCCTTCGATGAAAAGAACTTAGCGTTGTAGTCGACCCAGGGCTCGTCTACAGGTCGGAGGGGATACACCTCCTTCTTCGTGACTTTGTTTGGGCGACGATAGTCGACGCAAAAGCTTAGGGCTCCGTTCTTCTTCACCAACACCACTGGAGATACCCAGGAACTCTTCGATGTCTAGATTATGTCGTCGCGTAGCATTTCGTCGATTTGTTTCTTTACTGATTCGCGATCTCGCGTCGAAACTCGATAGGAGCTCTGGCGAATTTGTTGGGCCCTTTCTACTGTTATAATGTGATGTTTAACGACTGGGGTCTGCCGAATTCTCGATTACCACGAGAAGCAACGCTTGAATCGCAAGATCAGAGTTTTGAGTTCTTGCTGCTTGTGCTTCGAAAGACTTGGGTTGACGTCGTAATAGGGTTGTGAACGTTGATTCGTCGAGGCGGGTTCAGAAGTACCAGAAAGAGCGAAAGAATCGCTGGCGTCAACGAATTCTTCTATGCAGGCGATCGTCGTACCAATGTTGAGGTTTCTGTATTCACGCCTGACGTTTGTCGCCATTACCATCGCTTTTCCGTGAGCCAGTTCGGTGATGCCTCTTGCGTTACTTGAAACGCAAATCTGGTGCCTAAGGAGCAGATGCTTGTTGCCCTCGATAACGTCTTTATGGTCTGCGGATGCCTAGGTGCCGACGGAAATGATGACGCTTGAGCAAAGTGGAATGGTGGCTTCGTCTTCCGGCACATTTAATGCGTAATTCCTTGGCGTTGGGGGGGGGGGGGGTCGGAAGCATGTTTTCTGCGGTTAGTATTATTGACGCAGACCTCAGAAAAACAGCGCTGTGTTGAAGTACATCCCAAGTATGACTTCCCTAGAGCAATGTTCCCGGAATACAAAGCTTGCAGGATAAACATTGTTATTGATGGTGACTCTTGCTGTGCAGACTCCAGCCGGCGTTATTAGATGACCTCCAGCGGTTCGGATTTCAGGGCCTTCCCTAGCTGTCTTTTCTTCATTCTTGCTGCGAATGGTTCACCGGCGAGCCCCGCCAGGGTGTCTAGTAGCTAAGGTACTCGGCTGCTGACTAGCAGGTCGCGGGATCGAATCTCGACTGCGATGGCTGCATCTTCGATGGAGGCGAAAATGCTGTAGGCCCATGTGCTCGGATTGGGTGCCTGTTAAAGAACCCCAGGTGGTCAAACCTTCCGGGGCCCTCCACTATGGCGTCTCTCATAATCATATGGTGGTTTTGGGACGTTCAACCCCACATATCCATCAATGGTCCACTGACGATGGAATAGTTGGCTCCAGTGTCGACGAGAGCACTGACGTGGTGGCCGTGGTTCACTGGTTCGTCGTTGTGCGTTGCGGTTGGGTCGTGGCGTCGGAACACGGCTACGTTGCTTTCCTCCATTGGTTCCACGTTGTATTGTAAAGTTGTCTTCGGTACGTGAAGTTTGTACGTTAGGGCTACGTTCAGGTTGCGGTGGGCTCTCGAGTTTTCTTCGTGACGTTGTCGTCGGCGGTGGAGGATCTTCGGCAGTTCTCCGTACAACAACCGCTCCTGCATTGGTTGCTGCGCTTAGTTTTCTAAGTAAGGGCTCGGTGATCGGCCCCGAGCAGGGCTTGCATACTGCCTGCGATGCGGTGACGCGTAATGGTCTGGTGGCGGCTAGCGGTAAAGTTGTCGGAGTGTCGTCTGCGCCTCTGCGAGGTAGTCAGCGATCTCATATGGTCGCTGACCACGCTGTGGCGGTGGTGCGTTGACGGCGAATGCCCTCAGGTTCATCTGGCGGTACTGGCAGCGCCGGTAGGTGTGGCCTGCTTCCCCGCAGTGGTATCAGAGAGGGCAGTTGTCAGGGGCATGCCAAACGTCGGTTTTCTTAGGAGCACAGTGCTCCCCAGCCGGTGGGTTGTATGGCGTCGGCGGTTGTGGCAGCGGAATCTGGCGGCGCATTTTTGGCAGAGCAGCATCCTGACGCGGCCACGGAGAAGCGTCGCGGTGGACTGCAACGGCATTTAATAAAGAAGATAGTCTTTCTTGTGGTACTTCAACGCAAAAATTTTGGTCTGTGTGTCTGCCTTTCTGTCTCTCTGTACATCTATCTGTTTGTCCGCCGTAACGATAGCCCAAACGGCACCAAGCGATACGCCAAACGGCCAACCCCATCCGCAGCGCCCACCAATATTGCTCAAGTTTCAGTGTTCATACTTGTTCGATTGTCAATTAGAAAAGCGATTATTGCGCATATCTGCATGAGGCACCATAACACGTCAATATTTTGTATGTGTGTCTTTATACTATAGTTAAATCACACATAAGTAGTTCTAAGGACCGTAGCGTTAATAACGCTGCGCTGACAGTGCAACGCGATGCTCAAAAAGGCAAGTGTTTCCAAAGCTTTCCTAAGACAACATGGTGGTGGCATCTGCCCGTCGCTTTGCGTTCTACACCTTATCGCCTCCGAGATAGGCCCGAATCTTTCTCCGTGAGCGCGCACGCCTTCCTTCATTTTCGAAGATGACTGCCGGATAGCGCTCGTGTCTAATGTGCTTCGATGCGCTCGTTCGCCTTCGCTCCACGGATCGAGACTCTCTAACGCAGCGCTTCCAGAATACGATTCACTGATATTCTCGTGCAGAACATCAAATAAACGTTTTGTTCACTCTCTCCACACGCAAAACTATCGTCTTTCGACGTCATTTGCAGTGAAACATGCAGATACGGGGCCAATTTTTCCGCTTCAGGTTGCGATGCTTCGGGAATCTCCAGCGATTCCCGAACTTCCTCGTGGACAATGCCGGTGATTGAATTAACTTGAGGCTGCGGCAAAAGTAATAGCTTGCACAGCTCCTCCCGCACGATCGCTCGGATGGTCTCGCGCAGGTCTTTGGCGCTGGTGGCATGGGCTTCGTCGTAGTTGAATGATGAACAGTGGTTGTACTGCGTTGCCCGCATCTCAAGCGTCTTTTGTATAGTCATGGCCTCGACAAGGAATTCATTGGCAGTCCTAGGCTGGTTGCGAACAAGTCTCGCAAACAGCTCTTGCTTGACTCCTCGCATCAGGAACCGAAGCTTCTTGTCCTCATGGGGTTGGCGTTAGGGAACAGCTATGTCACTTCTTCGACGCAGGTGGTCGCGGTTTCGTTAGGCAGTTGTGCCCTCGTCTCCAGCAGCGTCGCGGCCCTTTCTTTGCGGGTGATACTCCTGAGCGGGTTCAGGAATGTGCCGCGAAAATGATTCCAGGTTTGAAGTCTTGATTTCTTATTCTCAAACCACATTTTTGCTGCGTCTTCCAGGTAGAAGTAGACACGACGCAGGTTTTCGTCAGTGTCCCAGTGATTCAGGGTGGCCACTCGTCATAGGTCTCTAGTCAGGTCTTCACTAGGCGATTCATGGAAGCTCGATCGCTCTCGTGGTGTCTGCATCCCGATCGCCGCAGTTGGTACCGCAGTGGCTGTCATCGTTGCTGCAGTCGTCGTCTTGGTTTCGGTCGTTCGAGTCCTATCGGTTAAAAGACTGTGGTAGACATGTTGCCTACGACTGGCTCGCTGGTCATGGTTGGCGTCGGTGTTTTTTCCGCGACGTGGACTTGGCTCTCGGTTGGAGTGGGACGTGTGATACATAAAGGGGGAAGCACCTCCACCAGATGTCACGGGGTCGTCACGTCGTCGAAAGGAGCAGACTGTAGGTCGAAGATTAATATGTTTATTTAGCCGAACTTGGGACCTGTTAACGAAAAATTAATAAACAGCGATACACAGTGTCACTCATAGCGGCGAACTCAGCGTCAGCCGTCGATCAACTGACAAGCGGCAAATCGCGTCGTCGTTTATACATGTGCCGTCGAATATTCAAGGCTTATCACTGGTCGTCACACCAACTCTACAATAATCTCGAGTGTTCGCGTTTTGCGCGCGAACTTAACAGAACGATCTACAATAATCGTGAACCTTCTCGAACAATGAGGCGCAGCTTGAGCTGAGAATTTTTCACGTGCTTCATGGGTGAAAACCGTATGAAACGAAAATGAAAATAAGAAACGCGCGTGGTAGTATACAAATGCTGCACATTTGCTCGCGCACTCACCAGCTTAGCACTGCTTTTCTAAGACAGGACACCGGCGAAATAGTTGCAGTGCTTTTTTTTTTTCGCGTGTAAATGATAGTTGGCCATTACCTTCAACAAATTGAATCTCTGCTCCGTGGCGCTTAACACGTCGGTGAATATTCTCCTTAAAGGCGAACTCCGGTGATCTTTTTAGGCCAATAGATTTCAAATAAATTCTCTAGGCATGTTTACTTGCACATTTCCGTCATTAATGCCAAATTATAGGCTTGAGAGTTGCGCTCATTGTTTGCAAATAAATTTTAAAGATTGCCTAAAAAAGCTCACCTCGCTTGCCAGAATTATTGGCAACCCTGTCTGTGTATTGTCATGTTTGGCATGTCAATTAAAGATACGCAGCCGATGGCATCGCTATACTTTGTCCGCTACAGCGTTTATTGTGCTAGTCACAAGGCGACGGCGGCAGTGTTCGGCACGGGTATAGCACGCGAAAGCTTTGCTGCTTTCGCTGTGGTGTTTGGCCGGCGCTGGTCTGGCTTTCATGGTTTTCATACTCTGTGCCGGTGGCTCCAGTATAAGGACTCCGCTTCTTACCAAATCGTATGTCATATGCAGACAGGGCACCCGGTTGGGTTTCGGTTTCGGTATTGCATCTTTTTGCGTATTAAAAAGTATTTTCAAATTTACTGAGCATTCAAGCTATTGGGCTCGTGACAAGAGTATCTCAGGAACATAAAGACACAATTATCTTGGCATGGTCGAAAAATCACCGGAGTTGGCCTTTAAGATATTCCAAATTTGAGTTCAGGTAATCGCGAATATGCAACGCCGACTTTAAGCACCATCACTGCCACACACAACATAAAAAGATGCGTAAGTGTTGGTTGTTTCCACGAGGAGACGTTTTGACAAGGGGGCTTGTCTTCACCAAGGCTGGAACTGAATACATTATTCCTTCTTACTAACCCAATTAGCCACAGCAACCTTTCAGTGTCCCCCCCTTCCCGACTTTCGCAGTTGCCCTCTCCTTTTATTTTGTTTGGATTGAAAGAAAGGGTGTGAAGCATTACACACTAGCGCTAAGGAAATCGGTTCCAGCCTCGAAGAAGACCAATCGCCTTGTCGAAACGTCGGCATGAGCATAGAGTGTCAGTTTACGGATTTTTTTATCGCAAGCTTTGGTCTTCTGCTTCCTGTCGTTCATTATTATTATTTATGATGACACACCAGGATATGCACGCTTGTGTAGCCGATTTCGTGGCATGTATACGCTACAAACGCAAATGTATGCTATAGGTGCAGGGGTGTTTGCACTTAGGTGAACTCTCGTGCATGCTTATAAAAAAATGAAGGACATTTTTTTTATTTATAAGTTGGCTGTCCAAAGCGGGGCAAGGTTAACATTACAAGACGTAGTGAAAGCTTTGCGAGAGTAAGTGCGCCTGTAATTACGAATTTCGCATCTTAATCAGTCTCAGTGGGAAGCTCTACTGGTAATTTGTGTCTATAGCCTCATCATGAGAGAGACTGAATGGCGCGTAGCCCCGCCTGGGTGGTCTAGTGGCTAAGGTACTCGGCTACTGACCCGCAGGTTGCGGGTTCGAATCCTGGCTGTGGCGGCTGCATTTCCGATGGAGGCGCAAATGTTGTAGGCCCATGTGCTCAGCTTTGGGTGCACGTTAAAGAACCCCAGGTGGTCGAAATTTCCGGAGCTCTCTAATACGGCGTCTCTCATAATCATATGGTGGTTTTCGGTCGTTAAACCTCACATATCAATCAATCAAATCAATCCGAATGGCGCGTAGAATCTCTTACCGAACTTCTGCGTACAGCGATACCTTAGGGCGTCGGTCATTAACTCTGCCTGCATCTGCATAATGGACGTGAAGCTGTCGTCCGTGTATGTACACTCGTTATCTGCTCGGGCTTCCATGAAACACTGCGAAAATGAATCAAGAGCCCTAGAAAGTAAGAACAAAAGACAGTTTTTTTTTCTATCAGAAGAGATCTCTACTTTATAGTTCGATAGCAGTTAACTTCAATGTCTAACTAAAATAACAGAGGCACACATGAAAATCTCCTGCTCTTTCGATGAACTCATTTAATGGAGATTTAATAATTATCTTGAGAGTTTATTGCACCTTATCGTAAGTGAACTTATGATCTGATATTACATGTATGCAATATAACTCTTGAGCTCAACCACACTGCTGTCAATTTTGTACCAGTAGTATATTTTAGAAGACTTCCTGTCTATTCTAAAACTGGAAGTCAGTGCTCTACCAAAGAGAAAAAAAATTTGGAGGCCCTTAAGCTTATCTTTTGAGAGTTGAACGCGATAACGCTATCCCATTTCTACTGCCTACTTCAAACACTATGTGCATGAAGTCTTTTCGAAGTTGTTATGCACCCATGCACTACGTGGCCTTAAGAGAATAGGCGCAGTAACGTGTGTGCCCTTTGCAATGGGTGACCGGCTTTACACCACGCAGTCGTTATGATAATCACATATTCTGACGCCCGATGGCAACGTTCGCTTGTACCACTATTCATAAATGCAATATTTTGTGTTGTGTTGTGAAGCATGTATACAGGGCACGTGTGATTGTGAGACATGAAAGCTACTTTCACTGTATTTCCAAGCAGATGAAGTTATCTTCACTTTAGTCAAACACCGACGCGTGGCTGTGTGGTAGAACGTTGGTTTGCCTCGCACTCTACCCGGGTTCGATCCCCCCTCGGACCCAGGATATCTTATTTTAGTTTATTTTCATCGGTATAGGTTTTTCAGTCATACATAAAAGGTGATGAGTTTTCGCTCACAATCAACGACGGCTACACCAACACCCTAATTGCTACGAAACGAACTCTTTTACGCTATTCCGTTATACGCTACTCGTTGCCCGTGCCACTATAGTAAACATTCGCGCGTTTTCTTCGCAGCAGTAAAGTCAAGCAAGAAAACACTAGATTCCTGAGTTTGCAAGGAATTGGTATTGGTTGCTTTGTTGCTTCTTGCTTATGCATCATGAAGTACTTAAAAATGACGCGTTACGATGCCAAACAATACATTCAGTCGTGCACGTGGTACTCACCTACATTCGTCCATCTTGACCGAGAGCTTATTTTGAAGCGTGAAACTGCACCTCAGATAATTTTGAAGCAGGCTTTTCTTCTTGCACAGAGATGGCACACCAGCTTCGGCTTCAGTGGTGGGCAGAATAAACAATTTCGCATTGTGAGTGCGACAGCCTGTAGAAACTTCAATACCCGAATTTATGTATGCAAATGAAAGCAGAAGTACCTTTCTTTTCGGCCAGTGTGCTCTTGTCTGAAAAGGTATAGAGGTATGTGTTTTACCATTTTACCGAAGGTGCATACACAAAAAATATATTTGTGCTTGCCGAGCAAGGACTCTTGAAAAAACATATATACATGCCTACAGATATAACCAGCAAAAGCACTGAGTTTTGGTGGTAATTTATTTGATTCGTGTTATACGTCATAGCCTTGCTGTTTTCTTATGCATTGTCTTCCACAAGAACTATCTTATGCGTCGAAAATATAGCAAGCTCTGTCTGTAAATACACCATTGCATCGCAATTTTGACACCTTCTCTGAAATGTATAAAAATACTGTTTGTTACGGTTGATCTTCGAGAAACAAAGAAAACTGAACCAACACTTAAAGTATTTCAATTTGAATAAAAGCATTCCGCTTTTTTTGTTTCCTCCTTCCGAAGGCTCATAGTATGAACCTTCGTATCAGAATATGTCCACTAGATTAACCCCGTATTTAGAAACGCTCCTCGACTTCAACTTGACTTGCCAGCGCGTTTTAAGCACGTTTGTGCGTTTGCGCTTTCTTTGCTTAAAAACTGCGTGTTCTAAACAAGTTTTCGCTGCATTGAAAGCGGTGGCAGGTCATGTTCAAGTCACTTAGCGTTTCTAAACACGCGGGTAAGACTGCCGAAATATCAATGACCATTTTTTATGATGCTGCTCATTTTTTCACTGCCAAACTTTCACCAATTTCCGAAAAATATACAACATAAGAAAACATGAAAACGAGAATGCCCACCTTCTGGATTGCACGGGGAGGAGTATTTGTCCTGCACAACGTTCGTGAGGAACACGAAATCTTCCAGCTCTTTCACTTTCATGCTGCAGTTGGTCAACTTGCGTGCCTGCTCTACGCAAGAGCCATACCTGCTGAGAAACCTGTGCGCAAACAGTCATGGTACATATTGTGTCTCTCAAACGAATATCCAGAAGAAGGTTACACTGATTCCTCATTGGAAAATAACCAAGATAAAAGGAGAACTCAATTAAGTATAACGACTCATCTCTACGGAGTTCTACGGTCGTCTCGCGCTTCCATAGATGCGAACCAAGTGCATAGTGCTCAATGTTCAGCGCGTCCTAAAAACATTAAGGACGAAATAGGGGTAAAAATTTGGCCCCGTATCTGCACGTTTCACTGCAAATGTCGTCGAAAGACAGTAGTCTCGCGTGCGGAGAGAGTGAACAAAATGTTTACTTGATGTTCTGCGCAAGAAAATCGGGGAATTGTATTCTGTGAGCACTGCGTAAGAGAGTTTCGATCCGTGCAGCGAAGGCGAACGAGCACATCTAGGCACGTTAGACATGAGCGCCATCTGGCATAATATCTACGAAAACAAAAGAAGACGCGACCGCCCGCGGAGAAAGATGCACGCCGGTCTCGGGGGCGATAAGGAGTAGAACGCGAAGCGACGAGCAGGTGCCACCACTGTGTCGTCTTAGCAAAGCGTTGGAAACACTTGCCTTTTTGAGCATCGCGTTGCATTGTCAGCGCAGCGTGATAAACGCTACGGGCCTCGGAATTACTTGCGTGTGCCTGCTATAGTATAAAGGCACGCAAACAAAACATCAACGTGTTGTTATAGTGCCTCAGATATGCGCAATAATTGCTTTTTAATTGACAATCGCACAGGTATTAACGCTGAAACTCGAGCAATATTGGTGGGCTCTGCGGATGGGGTTGGCCGTTTGAGGTAGCATTTGGTGCCTTAAGGCGGTATCGTTACCGCGGACAAACAAACAAATTTACAGACAGACCAAAATTTTGGCGTCGAAGGTCCCCAAGAAACGCTATCGTCTTTAATAGCCGTATTGCAGACAGTGTATCTAATACCCGTGTACCGAGCCACTACCACACCTGACGAAACGTCTATAGCTTTCGCGGCACGTCACTTCAGAATACTTGAATGCATGTACAGCTAGATAGACCCATAGAGTGTTCTGCAATTGCCGAACAGTCTTGTCTGTTTCAAATTATTTTTATTGTTGTAGCCATTTCTTCCCTTCTTTACAATATTTGCTAAGGAGAACTATAGCGCTATGATCTTTACGCCATCATAAGAATGATGGAGTTCATGGATTCGCCTGGTCTGCTTGATTGCGGCTTCGATTGCACTTGCGATTTTGTTTATTGTTGTTTCAACTTTGTTTCGGGTAATATATTGACTCGTTGTGACAAGATAGAATGGCAGTTCGGGCTAGTTGGTGATTTATAATAGACATATTATCACGACGTAAAATGAACGAGGACAAAACACAAGCGCTGTGTTGTATTCCTTCATGATCTGTCATTATTCATTTTGCACTTGTGCAAATATGTTGGCTCGTTTTGAACCTCGTGAACAGGTATCAGTTAGTCAGCTTAGAAAGGCCAAGATAGTAATGAGGGACTGTTAAGCTTTCCTCGAACTTCATCCTGTGGCAAAGCAGCCGCAGGCCTCAAGGAGCCGGAAGAACGAAGTTTATATATATATCCATGTAATAACCATCATGTCCATTCATGCTGAATGAAGCGCCAACGTGTTGTAGCTCCGACAAACACCAGCGCGCAATTTCCCTCTGGTCACAAGAGGGGAAGCATTTGCTAGTTGGTGCGTAGTCACATTTGCAAGTTTTTAACAGCACGCGAACATAAAAAAGGGAAAGGGTAGACACAAAGAGCGCTGACTTCCAACTAACTTTATTTCATGGAGTGGCAAGTACATATATGCCTAAAAAAGGGTGATTATGGAACATGAAGATAAAATACAAGCCTAATCAATGCACCAATATCAAAGCACAGGTAGCGGGTCCTCTATTGCCTCAAAGCCTAGCCAGGTAGTCACGTTCTGCCTGTGATAAAGCAGCCGATGAGGTGCTTACGCATTTATCACCTAGCGAGTGTAATTTTCCGGCTTCAATGATTTCTCGGGTAAGCTGATTCTTATGCCTTGCGAATATAGAGCACCGAACAAAGAAGGGGGTGCACCCACAATCTCGGCAATGAATGCCAAGGTGCCCTTGTACCACATTGTGCATAACGTTTTGGTGTTCTCGGAGGCGGTCATTTATGCACCTGCCGGTTTGGCCGACATAGACGCACCCACACGTCGGTCGAATCAAGTACATGGCTCCCACTGCGCATGGGACGTAACGTGACCTGTGCGCCACAGAGCACGGGGCATAGTTTGCGCGAGATGTAGTAACCCGCTTGCAAAGTCTCTGCAATTTTTCCGGCGCAGATGCAAGAACGTTGGCGGCTCGAGCAATCTTTTTTAGCCTGTGGGAGACTTCGTGCACGTAAGGTAGTACGATGGGCCGGCTCTTTCCGACACTGATGCGTTTATCCGGTTTGTCGCCTCGCTTCACGACAGTGACCAGATTTTCCGCCACCTAAACGAGAACATGTGCGGGGTAACCAGCTTTGGTCGGACGCTCCACTTGTAGGGTGAAGGTGAAGGCTGTGCAGGCAATGGAGTCTGTTTTCAACGAGAAAGATGAGATTTGTCTGGTTAAGCTTAAGAAGCGTGCGAAAACTCTTACCGGGGCCCTGAAATTTTGAAAGCTTTCAAAGGCGGTAGATAGTTGCAAAAAGCTTAGCCTTCAGATGTTCTTTTGTGCGAGAACCCACAAAATTGACAACCCATTGGGGGTCATTGTAACAGAAAGAGGGACCTGGCAAAAGTCGGTAGCACTTTTCTTGCAAGAAAAGCTGAAAAATGTAACAATAGACGACCGCTTTTTTAGTTTTTTTGGGGGTGGGGGGGGGGCAAAAACTGATGCTGTCATTGACATTCTTGGGCGAACTAACACGGGACTCCAGGAAAAGTCTGTGGATATTAAGAACTTATTTTACTCTTTGCCGCATGACCAACTGCTTAAATGTGTAGTGGAATCCATAGACAGTTTCGGATCATCAGCGCCCCAAACGCGTACTGGAATCGATAACAGCAGCCTGTTAGAACTACTCGGTTTTTATTTGAAGGCCACCTTTGTATTATGGGATGACAAAAACTATACTACAAAAAAGTGGAGTATGTATTGGTTCATTTTTGATACCCATTCTCAGTGACATATTTCTAGCACAAGATGATCGTGTCTTGTCAAACAAACTTGACGACTCTGTAGATTTTAAAGTTTGCCATTTTGATGATGATTATTTAGTGTTGCTGAAATGTGATAGTCCAAATTTCCAGGTCATTTCCTCTGATGTTTTGACTGTTTTCCAAGAGTGCCTGAAACCACTTGCTCTGACGTATGAATAGCCCATTGATAACAACCTGACATTTTTAGATTTGAAGTTTTTGCTAGGATCCTCGCATGTTTGCTGGATCTACGAACCAAAAGCGGCCAGCCATTTTTGCCCTACAGCTCAGTTCACTCAAAATTGGTCAAGCGGGGCATTGCTAACCTCTGCCTTTCCAACGCCTTAAAGAAGTCCTGCCCCACATGGCACACTGCAGCTTTGCTCTACAAGTGGAGCGTCTGACCAAAGCTGGTTATACCTGCACATGTTCTCATTTCGGTGGCGGAAAAGCTGGTTACTGTCGTGAAGCGAGGCGACAAACCGGATAAACGCAACAGTGTCGGAAAGATCCGGTCTGTCGTACTACCTTACGTGCATGACGTCTCACACAGGCTAAGGCCCCGCCGTGGTGGTCTAGTGGCTAAGGTACTCGGCTGCTAACCCGCAAGTCGCGGGTTCAAATCCCGGCTGCGGTGGCTGCATTTCCGATGGAGGTGGAAATGTCGTAGGCCCGTGTGCTCAGATTTGGGTGCACGTTAAAGAACCCCAGGTGGTCGAAATTTCCGGAGCCCTCCTCTACGGCGTCTCTCACAATCATATAGTGGTTTTGGGACGTTAAACCACACAAATCAATCACACAGGCTAAAAAAGATTGCTCGAGCCACCAACGTTCCTGTGGCTTTTTTCTGCACCGGAAAAATTGCAGACACTTTGCAAACGGGTTACTACATCTCGCGCCAGCTTTGCGCCGTGCTCTGTTA